CAGATGCTTGCTACTTTTCATTTGATGAAGAAAACGCTGGACAGCACAATGTAGTTTCACCAGGGTTGGTTCTTGATGACTTAAGGTAACCAAATAGTGATATAATTTCGACCGGACTTGGTATATTTTGTGGAGGTTTGGTATTTTGGGTTGGTGATGATGGATGATTAATATAAACTTGATGTCTTGGTGAAATAGCGTCACTACTTTGCGGACTTAAAATTTGTTGTTGTTGTGGCTGCTGTATTTGTTGCTGTTGAGGTGTATGAGGTTGCTGCATTTGAGATACAGGTGGAGATAAAGGATTTATATTATTTGGTGATCTTGGATTATAATTTTGATAAACACCATTAACATTATTGCTGTTTTCTAAACCACCGCTATTATTTAAATCACTGGTATTATTAATATTAACATCACCGCCATTTATGTTTGATTGCTGTTGTGTATATTCATTTGGAATGGGGCTCTATTAAAAAAAGAAAAAAAAAATGTATTAATAAAGAGGTATTTATTTATTAATAATAATAATTTTTAAAACATACTCTAGGATTTTTATCACTTGGATTATTATGTAATTGCTGTTGTTGTTGTTGTGTATAGTTATTTGAATCTATGGGAGTCATTGGGGATGAGATCATTTGTCTTGGATAGATATCATTTGGATTTTGTTGTTGTTGTTGTTGAAGTTGTTGTGGTTGTGTTTGTTGTTGTGGTGATGTTTGCTGATACTGTTTATTATAATCAACTTGATTATTGAAATCTTGATGACCATTCATTGTCATTGATGAATAATTATTATAAATATTATTACTATTACTATTGCTATTGTTATTATTATTATCCTCGCTTTTTTCTATATAAATATCTGTATTATTATTAAATGTATGCTCTTCTAAAAGACCATTATTTGAAGACATTATTATAATTGATTAACTATATATATTTGAGATATTATTTACTTGTAATTGAAACCAAATAAATTTAAACTACTTGGGGGGTGTATTGTGGGTGTGAAAATAAGTATAATTTATAACTATATTTATACTAAATTTAATTTAATTTAAAAAATAAAAAAAAAGATACATTTATCTATAATTAAATATACAATATAAAAAAAAAAAAAATAGCGGTTACAAATTTTTAATTTTTAATTTTTTTTTTTTTTCCTTTTTTTTTTTATATTATATAAATAAATTTGATATGTATATTATTTTTTTTTTGTTTCTGAAAATAATTTATTATATCGATTTTTTGTTGAACCAAATGTAATTGACCCAATTAGGAAAAAAATAAAAATAAAAAAATTTTGATGATTTAAAAAAAAAACCAAAAATAATTAACTGTAATAAAAAAATAAAATTATA